CCGTAAGAAAACAATACACCCCAAAGGATACTTTATTCTTGCTAACTCTTGTCATATATTACTCTTGCTTTTCCTAATCATGGTTGTTTATGCGATACGCAATAAATACCAATTTAAAGGTAATTCATATGTACACTGAAATCATATAATAATGAGAAGATGTGGTATGATGCCAAATAGACAACTATCCACCAAAGACAAAATGCAGTAGAGGTAATAAAATTGAGAATGGAAATGGGGAATATGTCAAAGAGACAACAACCCGACCAAAGAGCAGACAACAGCCGAAGGCCACCAATGTGTCTTCAACGCAGCGAGAACATCCCGCACCCGGAGGTGGTCCTCAGCTGGCCCCTAAATAAAATTGTGTACTAGTTCAGTGAAAATGGACGTCAAACTAAACTCCAAAACATATACATGAACTAAAATTAAAAAACAGACAAGACTAACAAAGGCCAGAGGCTCCTGACTTGGGACAGGCGCAAAAATGCGGCGGGTTTAAGCATGTTTTGTGAGATCTCAACCCTGCCCCTATACCTCTAGCCAATGTAGAATAAAGAAACACATAGCAATACGCACAGTAAAACTCAGTTTAACAGAAGTCCGAGTCCGATGTCAGAATAGGTAACAAAAGAAACTAAGCAAAATGACAATGATACATAAATGAACAAAGGACTACTAGCAGTTACTGACATGCCAGCTCCAGACCTCAATTAAACTGATTGAAAGATTATGTCTTCATCATTTGAAAATCAAGTACAATCCCTCCCATTAGGGGTTTAGTATCATACCATCATAAAATATATGAGAAGAACATAACCCGTATCATGCCAACAACTGGTTTTCGAATAAATGTGTTTATTTCCGATGCAAAGACCCTATGAGTGAATCAATATTAATACCAAAATATGCAATCCTTAAAGACTTGAGAACAGTATCGTAACTATATCCTTTCCGAATAAGTCTGTTTAAAGGTTTGGTTAGCTTTTGAGGTGAATGCCGACATTTTTGTGCTTTGCAAAGAATATTACCATAATATACTGTTGTGAAATACCTGAACGTATAAGATGTCTGCCTGTTGATTTATATTTACGAATGATGTCCTTGTACCGATGATGAAATTTAGTAAATGTTTTGACTAGTTTGTGATATCGAAAACCCTGGTGTAATAATTTTTCAGTAATACAGAGATTTCTTTCGTTGAAATCAAATACGTTGTTACATACACGAGCGAATCGAACAAGTTGAGATATATAAACACCATAAGATGGCGACAAGGGAACGTCACCATCTAAAAATGGATAATTAGCAATAGGAAATGAAAAATCATCTCTTTTATCATAAATTTTGGTATTAAGCTTCCCGTTAAAGATAAAGATATCAAGATCCAGGAAAGGGCAGTGTTCATTGTTAGTATTAGCTTTATCTAAAGTCAGTTCGGCAAGATAAATCTCTTTAGTGTACATACTTAATTCGTCATTATTGAGAGCCAATATATCATCTAAATATCTAAAAGTGTTATTAAATTTTTGAATCAGATGTTGTTTCGATTGGTCTTTGCTGATTTTAGTCATAAATTGTAACTCATAACAATACAGAAACAGGTCCGCAATAAGTGGTGCACAGTTAGTCCCCATGGGAATTCCGATAACCTGACGATATACGGAATCTCCATAGCGAACAAAAATGTTATCTAGTAAAAATTCAAGGGCAGTTATAGTAAGTCTGTTTAAAGTTAATTACTTCCATCTCTCAAGGCGAACACGCTACAGCAAGACGATTTCGGTAGTTCTTTTTTAAGATTTATGTTTGTTTTAAGCGAAAAAATACTAGATTGTACTATACAGAAGTGAAATTGTAGCTAGATCACACATTCGCATTTGTATAAATTTTAAACTCGTTGATATACAATCAACCACAAAAACGAATCGACCTTTACATTTCAAATTTCTAACAGAACAATGACTGCATGAAATTCCTTACTAGGAGGCATTATCCTATATGACGATGGTATTACGGCTTCAGTAATTAGATTGTCTTAAATCTATGACATCGGAAAACCATCATTAATAGTCTAGGTTGCAAACACACTGGGAATTTCGTGTGTTGTATCTTTCGAGACAATCATTAGGAGTGTTTGTTACATAGAACTGACGTAATTGCACCCATAAGAAGTCTTTAACTTGATCACCTACGTATCATTTATGATAACATTAACGGTACAAATTGTAACGTACCAGATGCAAATTTTTACAATGAATGTCTCTTCAGTAATGCCCGGGGCCAAAATATTTGAATATCCAAAACTTATTATAAAATTGAAGAGCTGATAAAACCAAAAAGGACAAAAAGTATAACCAAAACCAGGCAAGGAAACAGAGATTTGCTTGAGGGTGATAAATTCCTTAATATCAAATGATTTCAAAAATTTGTAACAGCAAATTTTAATAAAACAATATCCTTTTATAATCGGTTTCTTTTTCATTGTAATTGATACATTTAATAATTTATTTATAAGATTAACATCTATTTTTTTATCTTTGTTATGCATTTGTTAGTTGCATTACTGTATACAAGAACAGGTTTTGACAGTCTTTAAAAGAAACTTTACCAAGAAGCCAATCAACGTCACAGGACAAAGGAGATCAGACATCTACATGGCGTGCAGAAATGTTCCAAAAAATTTACGTAATATAACACAGAAAGTAATAGATTGAAAATCTTGAACCCCATAAAACCTTAAATGAACTCATGTGTTACGAATGATAAACAGTTTCTGCTCAATTAGTGGCACACATGGTGTTGTTCATGAAAATAAAAATTCGGTCATAGGTCGCACTCGATGATGAGTTTAGAAGGCGAACAGGGCGGGATCTATGACTGCAACAAATGGGACATGTTCGCTGTCAACTGTATCATCTACGTTCGTCTACGTTCCATGACAGTCAACCAAATAATGATGGAGAACGTGTAAGGTTTAAGTCGAAATGACTACAACTTTGCCAATAAGAATTCTTTTTCAGTAGCTTCAATATTCAAGCAGTAGCCTACCATACAAACCCGATATGAAACACAAGCTATGAAATATAGTGACAACTGGATGTTAGTTGGATGTTTCCACAAAAAGTGAAAAGTGTTTGGTGTAAAATTCAAAGTAGTCTCTAACAGATAACAGACCTCGAAAGTGGATAACTAAATGCGAGTTCAGGTATGAAGCTGACCTAGCTGAACCTGTGGTACCTTTATTTAAAGTTACATGCTCATGTTGATCTATGATATTCTCTGTCTCTTTCGTTCGTTTGATGTAAACTACATTTTGGCAAAGTTTTAAAAGATTTCACTATTTGTTGTTTGTTAATATTAAGACATGGTATCCTTAAATTTGCAACTTACATCGATGTTTTCACAATTTATAGACTTGGAAACTGATGAGATGCTGCAACATCTGTGTATATTGCAAATTCTTTGCTTGCAAATCATATGGTTAAAGTGTAAGAAATGATCTTTACGAATGGAGCGGACTGTTAGATTTGTCTTATTTATGGTGAAACTCTGTAGATTCGTATCCCTATAATGTAATAGTTATGTTAGGCTATGTAAGATAGATATTAACAAACAGTCTTAAACCATTGACTAAACCATTGACCACCGGGTGCCCTCTACAATAGTTTTGATTTGCTAGGTGCTTAAATATCCTTTATCTTGACCAGTGAGTCTCTGATACCCCTGCAATAGCGATGATAAGTGAATGTACCCCTGCAAAAGCCTGCATGGATAAGTGTATGTAAAGTAATTTTGTATATTAAAATGAGAGCTAGAGCCTGATAAATTAAGCCAGATGAAAACCTGACTAAAACTTATTGAAATAAAGTGCTGTTTTAACGTACGACCAATTCGCGAAATTTGGAAAATGCGCTACTTAATTGATATTGTAAATATATATGCATTGTCAATTATCACTAGAAAAATCCACAAAATTGACCAGATATCAATGTTTTCGTACAAAAACTAGTCAATGTTGTATGTATTTCTAGCCTGTCAACACTGAGGTGAGTTCGAATCCTGCTCCAATCTTAATTGATTAGGATTGCCAGTTTTCCTACCGAACACACTGGCTTTCTCCACCAACAAAACAAACCGACACGAAATAACACAATAGTGCTGAAAGTGGCGTTAAACACCAATCAATCTCCTTGGGTGTAACGTTTATATCATTTGTAAGACCTGGTAAGATTAGCATGTTTGATTGTGGTATTGCTACCACCGAGTCATTATTACTAATGCAAGAACTGTTTCAATGTGGTCGGTTTGGAGCTGACTATATTCATATAGAATTTCACAATAACTTTTTCTATTTTTGCTTTTTATTTCTTTGAGTTGTTGCCTTTCAAATTATTGATTTGCGGGTGCTTGATGAAGGCAATTAAAATAAGCGCTTAATTTTTTTAAAATTAGATTTTTTAAAACTTTACTTCAGTTGTACAAAAACTTATGTTATGAATAGGGATGTGTACATTTTTATACCAAAATCAGTAGTCTGAGATAGTAACATTAAAATCTACTACAATCTTAATATTGAAGTTCATTTATATATTATGGCGTAATGACATCTGGCTGTAACTATATTAAGCCATATGCTTTAATTACCAATGTATCTAATTTCAAACCGTATTTAAACTATGATTAGATATCGAACAAATGCCATCTGTGATCGGGATTAGTAACAAAATAGAGACTCATTAACTAAAGAAAAACGTGTTTAACACAAACATTTGTAGTATTCAGATAACAATTCTATTTTGCACGTAAAGAAAATGTTCGTCGACAAAAACCATTCGGATGACCATCATGAATTAAGTAACATCAACTTGTGATAGCAGTAAATATATCCCTCATACCGGAATGATAGAATAAAAGTTGAGAACTTGAGACCAACTTTAAAATTTTGGCAATTCAAACTTTTCAGAATGTTTATGTGTGAAAAATATAAGAAAGACAAATTTTAAGCACAAATAAATATTATTATAGAAAATTGTACAAAATATTTGATAACAAGACATACTGTTTATGATATAACACAACTATTTCTTGAATGTTTGTGGATGGAATTCGATGACGATGAAGTGGTAGGCATTGACATTCGTCGTCGTCGTACAGCCGGACTGAGCGGCTGTGGGAAGTCCGACAAACGTAAAAGTTCCTGGAATATACCCACTATATTTGTATTGTCCTTTGCAGACGCCTGTACAAATCCTGTCTCCCAGTCCACACATGCTATAGACGCTGCCGTCTCCTTGTCTACTGATGATACGTTTGAACTAATGTCTGACTTATTTCCAACTATGACGATAGGCACTTTTTCTCGTTGTGCAATAATATCCTCTCGTAACTTCTTCACTTCATCAAACGAATTATTGTCAGTCATAGAATAAACAAGAATGAAAGCATCACTTGAACTTATTGCAAGTTTTCTCATTGCCGGAAATTCATGATGACCAGCAGTGTCCAGAATGTCTAATGTTAGACGGATTCCATCTATATTGTATTGTCCTCGATATAGCTCTTCCACCGTCTCTTTGTATTCACTGTTAAATCTGTCATACAGAAACTGTGATATGATGGAAGATTTGCCAACCTCAGCAGCTCCTAGTACAGCTATTCTATAATGTACTTCTTTTTCTGCTCCACCTTCACTACAAATTCTTTGGCGAGACATTCCTGAAAAATATAGGTAGAAACATATGAAAATAGCTGTTTCTTTTAAATACAAGAGTGCACACGCTGAAATGTCTCACCTTCTTTACTAATCATTGATATTATGTTGATAGTCCTAAATATAAAGCTTTATTACAACTGTCACATAAACTTAACATTAACCAAGTAATCTAAACATTGACCAATGAACCATGAAAATGAGGTCAAGGTCAGATGAACCATGCTAGGCAGGCATGTACAGCTAACAATTCTTCCATACAACAAATATAGTTGACCTATTGCTTATAGTTTAAGAAAAACAGACCAAAACACAAAAACTTAACACTGAGCAATGAACCTTGAAAATGAGGTAAAGGTCAAATAAAACCTGCGTGACTGACATATAGATCATAAAATATTTCCATACACCAAATATAGTTGAACTATTGCATATAGTATTAGAAAAACAGACCAAAACACAAAAACTTCACTATAACCACTGAACCATGAAAATGAGGTCAAGGTCAGATGACACCTGCCAGTTGGACATGTACACCTTACAGTCCTTCCATACACCAAATTTACTAGACCTATTGCTTATAGTATCTGAGATATGGACTTGACCACCAAAACTTAACCTTGTTCACTGATCCATGAAATGAGGTCGAGGTCAAGTGAAAACTGTCTGACGGGCATGAGGACCTTGCAAGGTACGCACATACCAAATATAGTTATCCTATTACTTATAATAAGAGAGAATTTAACATTACAAAAAATCTTAACTTTTTTTTCAAGTAGTCACTGAACCATGAAAATGAGGTCAAGGACATTGGACATGTGACTGACGGAAACTTCGTAACATGAGGCATCCATATACAAAGTATGAAGCATCCAGGTCTTCCACCTTCTAAAATATAAAGCTTTTAAGAAGTTAGCTAACGCCGCCGCCGCCGCCGCCGCCGGATCACTATCCCTATGTCGAGCTTTCTGCGACAAAAGTCGCAGGCTCGACAAAAACGATCAGTGGCGGTTTATTCGGAATTACGATATAAATGTTACCGAACAAAAAAGTTTTAATATGACCTTTAACTTTATTGTTTAAATATATATAATTTGACCCCGGATTGATGGGATATGTTCTATATAAATTGTATTTAAAATTGGTAATAAACACTACAATGCATAATTTAATTGTTTAGATACCAGTAAATTCACTTATTTGACCGTTGTGCTTATGAACTTTTGTTTTTTTTATGCTCCCAAAAGTTCGATATTTATGGCTTTCTATTTGGTGTCAGGTTATTTCAGAAACACGTGTCGTGCGCGCGGATATCATATCATTTGTTTTGTAAGTTATACACACAGAAACGTTTTGTGCGCGCGGATATCATATCATTTGTTTTGTTGTTTTGTAAGTTATACAAACAGAAACACGTGTCGTGCGCGCGAATATCATATCATTTGTTTTGTAAGTTATACGCACACAAATTTCGAATTGCCTTTATTAATATCTGTTTTAACTGTAAACCAAACATCTATTCATTACAATACTGTTGGAACATATATGGGATTGGAATACGAAAAAAAGTGTAATTTAATATAAAAATAAGAAGAAAATAACCAAAAGATGTGTTGCAAAAGCAAATAGCTCTTGACCCATGTGAATAAGCGTAATAATGAACTGTTAAACATGACAAGTTTTTACTTTGTTGATGAGTGCTCACAAAAAGAATTTTAATCACAACAGTCCTAGTATGATATATCAATTATTGTGTTTATAAAAAAAAACTTAAATTTTAGCGACAAAAATAATTTCATTATTAAATAAAAAAAAATCACATTCAGGAAAAAAAGTAAAAAAAACAATACATTGTAACTAACTAATTAAACAGCAAATAATACGAACAATGAAGTTTGTGTAATATTAACATGCACATCTTACCTTTTTAAGTGTTACACTGTAGAATCAATGTTGATATTTAAGTTATCCACTCTGTTTCAACAGTTTATATACTAGACTGACGTCAATACATCAATCCGATTCAAGCCTAACATCTTCGACGTAACGTGACTGCCTAGGGCATACTCAAACCCGATTGGTTGAAATATTCAGGAAGAATCACTTAGTAAAACTGTGATCAAAGCTATTTCATTTGAACTATTCCTTTATCCAAGGATAAAAGTAATTTCCTCTTTGAAATTGCAACTGAATGATGACAATTGTCCATTAATGTACGAAATGCATTGTAAATATAGGTTTAATTGACAATCGTATGTATGTTAAAACGAAGTCTTACGATTGTTTATCGATATTCCACTTTGCTTTTAATATATATTGCATATTTAAAAATAAAACCAGGAACTTGAGTTTGGGTGAGCATTACCCATATATGATAATATTTTAGTGCGTGTAAAGTGCTTTTCTGGATTTAACTTCATCAGAAACGCTCAAACCTAAATATTTAAAAAGCCAGGAATGTTAAAAAAAACTTCATACAGTTCGTGCGTCCGTAGCCCTGTTCAAAATTTAATTTCACCAGGAACGCTCATACTTAAATATTTGAAAGTCATGGTAGTAAAAATACGTGAAAAAGTTAAATATTCTCATTTTTGCATTATTTTTGTGTTATCTCACTAAATAATTCAAAGTTTGGTGACTACGTTTAAAGCATCTATCCCGAACGAACTTGAAAAAAGGATACAACAAATACAGTTTATTCTGCCTCATATCTTGACTTCTATCAAGAAATAGACAATGAGGATCGGTTGAGAACAAAACTTTACGACAAAAGAGATGGTTTAAGCTTCCCAATTGAGAACTTTCCATTTCTATGTAGCAACATTCCAGCAGAGCCTGCATATGGAGTATATATCTCCTAGTTGATACGATATTCCAGAGCTTGCATTTCCTATCACGAGTTCCTATATAGAAGGTTGCTGCTTACAAGGAAGCTATTAAACCAAGATTTCCAAGTGCTGAAGTTGAAATCATCTCTCGAAAATTTTAGGGATGACATCACAAGTTAGTTGACCGTTGTGGAATATCTGTTTCACAGATGACGACGGATATGTTCCAATTTTCGAAACCACAATCCCGTCCTCTTTTCTTCGAATTTGACCTAACGAATAAGACTTATCACCGGATAAGACTTATCACCGGGTTTGTACTTGCATGAGCAGCACGACGGATGCCACATGTGGAGCAGGATCAACTTACCCTGCGGATCACCTGACATCACACCCGGGTTTTGGTGTTGTTCGTGTTGCTCAGTCTTTAGTTTCTATGTTGTGATTTGTGTACGTTGTTTGTCTTTTCGTCTTTATTTTGCCATATGGCATTGTCAGTTTGTTTTCAAATTGTGAGTTTGAATACCCCTTTGGTATCTTTCGCCTCTCTTTTAGAAGAAACAAAATTTGTGTTTAAAATTACCAACTATATAGATTTTGAAGTTGTTAGTTTGTCACTGATCAAAAGTAACAATACCTACAGGTTTGTCGAATATTTGGTAAGATCGACACAAATGACCATAGTGGACGTTACCTGTTTTGTTATTCTGGAATCTCAGTTAGTTTAAACAATATTTTATTGTGAAAATAATAACATCATTATGACAAATGACAGTTTTCTTTTATCAAGTATTGTCTCCAAGGGTTCTAGAAATTATGTGTTGTTATTTTTTTCAAAAGCAGAAAGCAAGTATTATCAGCTATCAATTCTGGTACAAAACCCTATACTAAACTGAAAAATACTCATTTTGTTTTATTTATTTTGGAAAAAAAGACTTTTGTCCATTAAACTTCAAAACGTTTTGTGTTCGAGTATTGCACGCAAGGCTGGTACAGCTAAACCAATATATAGGAATTGATCCCGACTTTGTACAATTCAACTTTAAAGCAACAATTTGCAAATTATAAATGAACGTTCACCTCCATATCTTAAATTGCTTATGTTTAAAACAGTTTTAAAAGATCTTCACCTATTTACCATAATATATTCTTATTTGCCATGACGATAATATTCCAGTAGCATAATGTGGCTGTTTGTCATTCCTTTACTGAAGTGTCTTCCGTAGATGAAAGGGAGACGTAGGTTTTAGTCCACTAAAATAATTCCACCTTTAATTGAATTGACTATCCTGTTTTCTGTTCTACCACATGCATCCAAATTTCGTAGTCCCCCTGTCGGTAAAATTAGTATTGTATCTTCTTTTAACTTTCAATAATACAATAGTGTCTAAAAGACATATCAAGAGACAAGAAGTATTATACCTGTACGAATATCTGCATTTTCTGAAAACTAATTTGAATTTGTGAATTATATATATATTTATATACTTCATCTGAAAGGGACACATTTGAAATAATAATAAAAAATTAATTAAATTATGATAAATTAAACACGACTATTGGCGATGTTATTGGATATAGAGTCATAATTATAAATAAATACAATTTTCAATTAAAATTAAAAAACTTCAACGATTGTAAGAGATGTTGGAAGATATAGTTTTTCTGATATAAGTTAGTTTAAACAATATTTTATTGTGAAAATAATAACATCATTATGACAAATGACAGTTTTCTTTTATCAAGTATTGTCTCCAAGGGTTCTAGAAATTATGTGTTGTTATTTTTTTTCAAAAGCAGAAAGCAAGTATTATCATACATTTTGATACCAGTATCCTAAGAGAACGTTGAAATGCATTACCTTCTTATACGATGACTTGGCAATCTTGTATTATTTGTTTATTTCATAGGACGATGTAAATTTGAAGGTCACTGATTTCAGTGTTAAAGAACAGGACGGATGTTAACATCAGACCATGAAAGTATTATTTTGTCAATATAATACTTCCATGATCAGACGAACAAACATCGATTACATAAAGATGAGTAACACGCAGAGTCATGACACCATATAACTGATCGAACAGTCTTAGTGATAAATATCGAGTAAAAACATTGAACTCTGACTGATATTATTTTGTTTAACTATCTTTGTTATTTTCTGTTTCTGTGTTTTTTGTTATTTTATATTTTGACATCGACCAGCTTTTTTCGAACTTGCCATGAACTCCCAATGAAGGGAATTACCACACCAATATAATAAATTCTGACTTAAGGGACTTACAGTACTCTGTAATGACATTTAATTTCACTAACATGGTAATAAAAAATGTCAAAGCAACAATAACGATTAAGAAGTCAAAAGTTAACAAAACAAATTATATTTGTCAATTATTGTTAAAAAGTCTGTAATTCAAAATGTATTTATACAGCAAAATGTTCGTTACCGATGTGCACCTACCAATATAGAGACATATACGCAATCAAATAAGGATTTTGATGTATTTCTCAACTTTCCTGGGTAATATATATCAATGCAACATCGAAGGACTTCTCCGACAGAATTTCTAGTAACCATAGTAGAAAAGGCTTTTCAAAAGGATGCATGATGATGGTTGGTGAATGTTTAATATCCAGTAACAAAATCAAATGCATATTTAAAATGGTAACATGTTAATGCGATATGAATGAGATTGATTGATTGATTGGTGATTGCTTTACGCCGCATACACTATGAATGAAATCCCGGCTTTGTACGAGACCGACACGATGAGTCGAAATTTATTAACGTACTAGCTCAGAGGATAATAGTCAGCAGGAAGACATGTCACATAACCCGGAAACATATTTTAACTTAGAGTGGACCAGTCTTTGCTCTTACTCCTTACTGCCACGTGCTTAGAGGACAAGCAACATTAAAGCAGCAAATCTCAATTTTCATGTTTTTGATTTGTCCCAACCGGGGTTTTCAATCCACGACTTCCCGCACTCGAGGCGAGCACGCTGAGCGGTTCGATCGGATCAAAAGGAAAGCGAAAAGTTATTTATTTCAAGCACGCGGATACCATTATTAATCTTTTTGCTTTGTTTTCCAATGCCCTTTTTAAAATTACAAACAAAAAACAAACAAAACTCCTTAAAACCTGTGAAAAGTCAGCTTTTTCTAAACCAAGACCATACTATAATATTGGTATAGTTGCTATTATTATTTTTACCCCCACCCCTCCATAAAAAGTAAAACAAAACAACAACATCAACAAAACATAAAAAAAAAAAACAAGCCATTAAAAACAAAAATGGATAAAAAGAAGAAATAATCGATTATTTTTTTTCTGAATTAGTATTTTTTGTATCACCGTCCTTTTTGCTTGTAGTCAGTATTGTATCATATATGTTTGAATAAGCTCATAATAACCACTTCTTCTTTAAATATTTTTTTCATTTCGAGGCCTTTTATAGCCGACTGTAAGGTATAGGTTTTTTTTCTCATGGTTGAAGGCCGTACGATGGCCTATAATTGCTTACTACCACTTCATTTTACTCTGGTGGCTAGTTGTCTCATTGGCAATCATACCAAATCTCCTCATTTCTATCATAATAATCAATTCTATGTTAAATAACTGTTATCTTAAGGATACATAGTTAGTAAGCAATAATTTTGAGTGTTTCTTTACTAGATTTGAGAAAAGTTTGTCAGTCCTACTAACATGCCCTTGTACTTTAATACTAACCGGCTGTTATTGGATATGTTCATATTTTTACTATACTTCATAATCATTAATAGTTTTTCCGTCCTTGTTTAAACTTTTAACCTCAATATTATTTCTTGTTTTATTGCAAAACACTCATATTTCGGCTTTATAACTCCTTAATCACTTCCTAATGACTGTGACAGCTGAAGGTGAAACACAATCAATATGTTAACACCACCAGCTGTCAACCTATTAAATAAAATTGATAATAGAATGCAAATTATTGCAACTAACCAATAATATCATTTAATTAATATCTAATTCCTTTTGTAGCTATTGTCATTTCCATCTGAAAAGATCGACGCTGTGCTTAATAGTGTAAGGGCAACAACTGTAGGATTTTTATTGTATTTAAATGTTTATACATCTATGATTGTATCTATTATATGTCTAATACAACGTGTAATATCAAAAAACAAATTATAATATATAAATAAGGCGATCTTCTTCTTCAGATATACAG